TATAATATGGCCCCAAAAAATCTGGTCTGTAAAATTTAGGTCGCTGTTTTGTCGGAAATCTGTAAAAACGGACATTCAGGCAGACCTGGCTTGCCAATAATAATCCCCAGCAAGACACTCAAGTCACATTTACTTCAAGCTGGTGTAGATGGACTGATGTAACAACAAGGTAATAATTGAATGACAAAGAAACACAATTTGGTCAATGTTCACCTCTCAAGGTCGTATTAAAATCGAAAAATAGACTGAAAATGACAATTTTTCAGCTGGGTTGGGTTCAAACCCACCAGAAAATATTTATGAGCCAGAAAATGAGTTCGATGGCCTGATTGATTGCCCTGAACAGAGCTGTGTAAAAGTGTATACACATCCAAGATTTCTTGAGGCACATATTTGTAACGGACGTTATGTTTATAATCAAAGTACTGAAGTACTGAACATCGGATGACCACAAGTTCTTGAGGATGGTCAAAAGCACTTGTCTCAGAAAAAAACAACATGTCTCTTTACCTGAAAATGAGGTTAATGTACAGATATATATTTTTTTCTGAGACAAGTTCGTGCGTGGATGATGAATAAATGACAGGAAATTCAACTTCACCGCAATAACTATTATATTGTAGTGATACAAATTACACTGATTTGTTGTATATTAAAATAACAGTTACATATATATATATGATTTGCATCCATTTGTATATCATTCTATTCTACTATTCTAGTAATAGTGCAATGCAAGTGCATGGTGGACACTTTTCTGTAAAAATTCGATTTTTCTAAGATTGGATACGAGTAGGCATTCATATTTTCCCGCAAAAACAATTACAGAGTTACCGGTCCTTGCCGGTATTGTCGCAAAACGTTCTATGAGATATTCTTCCGAATGCTGTAACACAATGTTTCGGTACGTGTGCATTGATATTATCAATGATTTTTTACTTATATATATATATCTAACTACAAAACATTTTCATATTATAAATTTATGTTGTAAACAAAAATATTTTTATCAGTATTCATTGAAGAGATGTATTTATATCAAACGATAAGGAATGTTATTTTGCACTCGTTTATGTGCGCATATTTATCATGTTTATAGATCGGTTACAAACCCAAAACCAATTTACATAATGGAAATCTAGGCGATAGCAATACATCGGAATGACCTCAAGGACATCGCGATGTAATAAGAGTGATAATAGTTACGATAAAGGTAAAAAGATTTGGTCTGAAAAGTACATAGCAGTAGATATGCAGTATAAAGTATTGGTACAATCTGTATCTTCAGAAGTTTCACAGGCTAGGGAAGGATAGGCTCTGAAAACAACTAGGCCTTGCAAACGCTTCACAAAAAAGGTTAAAAATGACCATTACTTACAAAATCTGTCTGAAATGTAGCACAACTAGAAAAAGACCTAACTTAGATAGAATATCAATAGAGTCGAAGATGCAAAGAACTGAAAATGGATCAAAAATGTTTTCTAGAGAGGAATGGCTTTCTCCATCCCAAATTAGAAGTCTCTTTGCATATCATGTGAAACTTGGTTCGCCAGTAGTGATTAAATCAGATATAAGTGAAGATGATGAGGATATTTACAATTTTCTGCAGGAAATAGAGACCATTGAATACCATAATGAAATGTCAGAGCCGGTAACAACTATTAGTTCTCAGTTTGAATATCTTTGAATTCATCATGGAACAATACCTGTTTAGCTGTAATGTGACTTAATATTTTCACTTTCATGGAGTGTCTAGATTAAAAATTGTGTCAATAGTAGGTATGTAAAAAACATGCCCAACAGTTCTTTTTTGAAAATAGAATATAGGTGCCATACAGAAGTTTTTGGCTTGTATTTCAAAATTATTTCAGATAAAAGAAAATGGAGATGACAATACTTCTTCGACATCAAATGTTCTTCCGAAATTATTGATCTTGAAAAATTGTTTATCCCCTTGCAAAGGACTTTCTACTTCATTTTTGCCGAAACTTTGAGATTTCGAATTTTTCATCACACTTTTCTCAACTACTATGTTGAAATTTTTGGTATATAGCTTTATAGTGATGACTTGTAATGTTTTCAGATCTATCAACCTTTTACTTCCTGATTGCCGATACCTCCATTCACGTATAAAAACTTGTCTTCAGACGATTTTGCATGTGTTTTTTTTTTTATATGACAGACTTGCTAGTATTATATAATCAGTAAACAAACAGCCTGAATAATAATATAACCATTACAATGACAATGTCTGCACCACAGTTTAACCATTTATGTGTGTAAATTTGTTTTTATTACATGTACCCGGGTATAAAATAAATGTTATTGCAATTTGAAATATTTTTTGTGTCTCTGGTAGTAAACCGCATCTTACATGTCTTATTCACATGTCTAAAGTTGATGGAGATTTTATGGTTACGTTCTAGGAAAAAACTTAGGAAAAATTTTTAAATTTTTGTTATGTCGACTGTACATGTGTTTCCAGAAGCGACATACATGACATATAGCCAGGGATCACTATCTGTCGTCCTTGTCAGCGTCACAAAAATTTCAGACACTTTTCTCAGCAACTACTTGGAGTAGACTCCTGATGTTTAGTATAAAAATATGAAGGCCTTTTCTAGGCAAGAAGCACAAGTCTATGATATTTTAACAACCTGGCACGTCCCGTCTGTGTTTTTTTATGCTTTTCTGCTTTGTATCAATCTGATGAGTTACGCCTTTTTCAACTGATTCCTATAGTTGTTCTTATGTTGTGCTGTTACACCACTGTCCCAGGTTAGAGGAGGGTTGAGCGCTCACAAACATGTTTAACCCTGCCACATTCTTTATGTGCCTGTACCGTGTTTGTCATATTTGTTATTCGTAAATTGTTTTGTTATAAACTAGACCGTTAGTTTTCTCAATTGAATTGTTTCATATTTTTCATGTCGGAGCATTTTATAGCCGGTATATGTTTTCTCATTGGTAAAGGCCGTACGGTTGCCTTTAATTGCTAGCTTACATCCACTTCATTTGAATTTTGGTGGATAGTTGTCACATTGGCAATTACCCACATCTCCTTATTTTTATATTGAGAATCTGGCCCTGCTTCTGCAAATAGATTACATGAATGTTGTCTACATTTTCATACTATTTTGTGAAAGAAAATACCCTTGTTTCATCCAAATTTAGTATTTTTTTTAATTAAAACTAAGTTAAACTGAGGTAATTCAAACGAGATAAGAAATTAACATTAGTTCAGTCATTATTTTTCTTGTATTTTGACTTTCACTTACATTTGTAAAGTTTCTATTTTAACCAATAAAAAAATCACAAATACGGCAAAATTGCCATTATGTCTATCTTAAATTGTTATTTTATGGCAAGAAGGTATCAATTGCCGAGCACCATTTTCTTGCATTTTGTAGATAAGTATATAAGCTCCATTCTTTATTGCATTTAATGGAAAACAAAACATGATCTTATAATAATCAGGCCTTTGAAAATAAACAAATTTTGCTTAATCGGCACCTTTTCAAAACCATGTTATACGGAACTGCCAATAAGGGTATTGAGAAATGTAAAAACTTGAAAGACAGCCCTAATTTCCTTTCCTTTTATGTGGTTTGTTAAAGTATGTGTTATTATTAAGCTGTTACTTTTCTATAACACTAAAAAATCTAAATAACCTAAAATAGGCTAAAAACGGACTTCTGTCAGTACAAAAATGGAAATTTATTGATGGTTATGCATATACAAATAATGGCTTGATATTTTTTCAAAATATTTTTTGCACAAATAGTTATTAAATATAAGGTATCTCAAATACAAAATATCAGTCTGATTGGAATATTTTGGATTCGGACCATTTTGCATGGTTTTATTACAGACTGGCTCTAAATGGCAATGAGACAACTATCCAGCAAAGTTCAAATGAAGTGGATTGGATGTAAGCAATTATAAGCAACCGTACGGCCTTCAACAAAGAAAAAAACCCATAGAGTATGTTTTAAAATAATAAGGTTGAACAAAGACCCATGTCGCAACGGAAGCTATTATAGCACCCTTTTCTCAATGGTAGACGAATGTGTTAAACGAACAAAATACAAAAAACAAAAAACAAAAACAAAATATTTTACAAGGCAATAACAGCCATCTATAAATCAATCATATGTGTTCTTGTTTTATATATGAATTCGTATAGTAGCCAAAAATCACATTAACCGAAGACCTCTATGATACAAATGATCAACGGAATGCACTTCAATTCTTACATGCTATATTGTAAATATGATATTCTGTACTATTATGGATCCCCTGATTCTGAAGAGGCTGTGTCTTTTTAGTTATTCCCGATTTAATTTTAGTAAATAGTTAAATAGAATATTCGGGTTTCATAAGTAAACAATAGAGATCTTTTTATGAAATGACATCGTTTTAAGTGTAATACCAAAAAAACATAGCACGTCACATCATGTTTAAATGTTATACCACCAAGACATAGCACGTCACATCCGGTTTAAATGTAATACCACCAAAACATAGCATGTCACATCCGGAATCATTTTAAACAGGTTAAAAAAATATTCGTTCAGTTGTAGGGAATATTCCCTGCATTTCGATATTCATTGCAGAAAATTAAACATATATCTTGAGTGTTTCATTCTTTTTGATTTGGTGTTTTCATAAATATTTTGGAAACTTTGTAAACAATATGAGTTTAGAGGTAACTTACCATAAGTTGTGGTCGTGCAAACTTGCAACTAACTTCATTTGTTAATAATAATGGGAATTTTTTTTTAAAATGTGTGCTTAATTAGGATTTAATCAAGGTTTCGTGGATCACAAAGAAATGTATCAAATTAAAGTTTTTCTTTCAAGATTTTATTATAAAGCAGCGCTCAGACACATATATGTGTAACAAGAGGTAAATGTACAACAATAAACATGAAAATACAAAAAACATTTAATAAAACAGTATACAAAACAATATACATATCAAAATAAGTTATATAGGTTTCTAATAAAAGATGACACCTGTCTATATAATTTAACATTGCAATAAGACTGCTAACTTCTGATTACTTGCATACTTCGTATAATAACTAGGAATCAATTTTTCTCTAATATTAACCAGTTGAGGAGACTTACATATGAACAGATAGTGAAATTCGTCTCCTATATATTTCATGTTGTGTTTTACGTCCAGTAGGGAACTCGCTCATTCATTTTTAAGTCAAATCGAACAGTTGAGTCTTTTTTTTATATTTTGTTATAGTATTCCACATTTCTAATGAATTGGTGTAATTTTTTAAAATATTCAAATAAAATAAACTGCATGGCTTACCATATAAACTACTTATCACAGGTTCAAAATAATATTTCGGCATAAACATATTTAGCTTTAAAGCAAAGATAAAAACCCACTTCCATAAACATCCTCTAACCATAAATATGGTACATTCTTTGATGCTCTGTACATTTTTCTTACAACGTCAATTGACATTATAGAACTGTGTCAAGCACAATACGGGAGAAACTTCGTGAATGGATATTCTTCCGGTGTTTTAAACCATTTATTGTTCCTTTCACGGACCGGAATATTTTCCGTTATCGTTTTACATTCCAGAACATTAGATGTTTGTCCAGCCTTTACCTTCTCTGTTAAGTAGGGCACTATGAGTGGGATATTGATTATGATATCATCGTCCATCTTGATGACGAATTTCGCATGGTTGCAGAAATTGTTCACCCAAAACAAACTAAACAAAAGTTTGTATGTTAAATTTCTGTATGAATCTATGAAATTACCCTGAATAATGTCCATGTATCTTTTACTTTCATGTTCGATTTCTTGTTGAAGTGTTACATTTTCGGTTTTGCCGAGCACAAATACATGTTCAATGCGTTTACTGTGAAAACTAAAAACAGTTCCAAATGTGGATCTTATCAAGTTTCGTCCAGCAAAATTGCCCGGTGCCATATGTACAAAAACTAAAAGAAAAACATTTTTCCCTTTGCATTTCAACTTTTGATTTAATAATAATTCGTAGCGATGTTGATGGATAAATGGGTCCATAAGTTCATCAGTAGAAGAATTGATATAATAGCTCTCAAACTGCGTCGATATGTTTCTTCCCTGAAATAATTGTATTTTCTGCGTATTGTTTTGTGTTTTCTTCGTAGCGTATACCATTGTCTCTGTAACATATTTTAGTTTCTCCGTCACGCATTGTAATTTCTCCGTAGCGTACTGTAAACTTTCGCCAAAGCTGTTGTACACTGTTTGACGGTACGTTGAAAAAGAAATTATCACGGTCTTATTAAGAAATAATAATGTAAATACCCAAAAAACTAACAGAGATACTCTCTGTACGAACTTCATATTTTTATCCAATGAACTCACTAATTCTTTCCTTCACTTGTGATGGTTGTTTTCGGCGTCAAACCCGTCTTTTTCAGTGAATCTAGTTTTTGTTCACGTCCACCTAGTTTCTATATCTTGATCGTCATAAGGTCTTTATCAATTCAATTTCTATGTTGATCCAATTATTTAATTTTGTTTTATTTCCTGTTAATGGTATGTCCTTTTGGTCAACGTACATTTAATAAAAATTGAATATGAAAGCACGGTCATCTAAATCAGCTGTTTAAAAGTCCTGCCAATTACGTATTACATATTACAAAGAGCTAATAAATACGCCAGTAGCTATCACAAGCATAAAAAGGTTTTATATCTGGAATATTTAAAAATATTTGAATGTTAATTTTTACGATTAATTCATCCATGTCATTCCGGAAGCCCAGTTAGGACCTTCCAAAAATATAATTTGAATTCGAAATCACGAATTTAAATCGTTATCACGAATTGTATAATTTGTTATAACATTAAATTTGTGATAACGAATTGGTGGAAATCGTTATAACAGATTTTATAATTCGTAATTACGAATTAAATTCGTTATCACAATTTTTTGAAATTTGTGATAACGAATTAAAATCGTTATAACGAATTGTATAATTTGTTATAACGGATTATATTCGTGATAACGAATTTGTGGAATTCGTTATCACAGTTTTTTTGTAATTTGTGATTTCGGATTAAAATTCATTATCACAGATTTTTAGCTCACCTGCCCATAGGGTTAAGTAAGCTTTTATCCACACTTTACGCCCGTCGCTGTTCATTACTTTTACAAAAATCTTCTTCACTGAAACCTTTTTTGCCAAAGTGAAACAAACTTGACCACAATCCGGGGCGATTTAGTTTTAACGCATTTTATTTGCAAAATTAGCAAAAGGGATTGGACACAAACTGAAACAACATTAGTGACGTCTTCTCCATGTACAAATATAAACACAAAAACACTGTACCTAGAAGTTTTTGTCGTGTAAAATGGGTGGGTTAACTCACAAACTGATATGTAAGTTTATTAGTCAGCGACCCAGTTTACACACCAAAAATCTCCAGAAAAAAATGTGTCTAGTCCTCATATTTCTTGACCGATATAGTTTTATTCCTTATTTTTTTTATTTAAAGTCTTTTTAGACCGGCGAATATCATTAGTGTGTATCGCGCATGGATACATTTTACACAGAGGCAACGAAAGTAGTTTCGCCAACATGGTTTATCGAAGTGTAAACCTAGGAAAGAAAATCTAACAGACCAATCACATTTATTGATATGCTAATAATATAACAATTATTTAATAATGGCGAAAACATAATAGGACTGCATGTAATTCAAAAACAAACACAAGATATTAAGAGGAAGAAAATAGAATATAAGTGCACAAGTAGATAAGGCTAGCCTGGAGTGAAGTGAAGTGAGAGCAATAAATCATGGTTTCTAGTTTGAAGAATGTGTGCAATGAGCCTAAAATAGAACACAAGGGTAAAATGCAAGTTTTTTTCTTTTATCTTGAAAACCGCTATAGAAAGAGAATTGTTTGGAATCACAAGATTTACGTACTGTCTATTTACATCAAAATTGTAAGATGACTATTTATAGGAATAATTTTCCTTTATTGACGTTTTTTTTTATTTTGTGTTTTGTTTATTATTTTGAAAATTATGATAGATAGAGAGAATCTTTCAATCAATTATTATAGCGAAAATGATCACTGAGAAAGCAAAGATCTACAAATAATTTCACATGATTGAAAGCGGCAATTGACCCTTTTTTACCCTTATGTTCTATTTTTGGCCATGTTGGCCATGTTGTTCCTTATTTATTTCTTTCACTTCACTACACTCCAGGCTAACCTTATCTTATATATACTTTTGCACATTATACTCCATTTTCTTCCTCCTTATATCTGTTGTTTGTTTTTGAATTGCATGCACTCCTATTATGTTTTCGTCATTGTCAAATAGTTCTTGAATTATAAGCATAAATTATCAACAAAAACTTGAATATGATTAGTCTGTTCGATTTTCTTTCCTGGGTTTTACACTTCGATAAACCATGTTGCCAAAACTACTTCTGTTGCCTCTGTGTAAAATATATTCATGGGCTATACACACGAAGGAAATCGCCGGTCTAAAAAGACTTTAAATAAAAAATGATGAATAAAAATGTATCGGTTACGAAGTATAAGTATTAAACACAGTTTGCATGCCCCCGCCGCTAGGCAATGGGGACATTAAGTCTAGTCCTTGTCTGTCAGTCCAGTCCGTCAGTCGCGTACGTGCCGCTCACACCGAACAGTAAGCTATAAAGGGCCCCAAAAATTACTAGTGTAAAACCATTCAAACGGGAAAACCAACGGTTTAATCTATATAAAAAACGAGAAACGAGAAACACTTATAAACCACATCAACAAACGACAACTACTGAACATCAGAGTTTGCTTCAACCAAATGTTATAAAACTTATACACTATGTTTATTACCACAAAACACAGATCAAATTTGAAATTGAATGGCGTCACTTCTACCGTTCTTGAGTTATGCCCCTTTATAAATAGACAAAGTGCTAAATCTGTCGTTTCCGTTCTCTACATTTAGTTTGCCTCAACCAAATGTTAATAAACTACTAGAGTTATGCCCCTTTACAAAAACAAAAAACAAAAAATATCCCTAATTAAGTGTCCAATCCCTTTTTCTAAATTTGCAAACAAAATTCGTTAAAACTAAATTGATTGTGGCCAAGTTTGTTTCACTTTGGCCAAAAGGTTTAAAAAAAAGAAGATTTTTGTAAAATTTAATGAACAGCGACGGGCGCAAAGTGAGGAGAAAATCTCACTTAACCCTGTGGGTCAGGTGAGCTAAAAATCTGTAATAATGAATTTTAATCTGAAATCACAAATTACATAAAAACTGTGATAACGTCGTTATCACGAATATAATCCATTATAACAAATTATACAATTCGTTATAACGATTTTAATTCGTTATCACAAATTACAAAAAATTGTGATAACGAATTTAATTCGTAATTACGAATTATAAAATCTGTTATAACAATTTCCACCAATTTGTTATTACAAATCTAATCTGTTATAACAAATTATACAATTCGTGATAACGGTTTAAATTTGTGATTTCGAATTCAAATTATATTTTTGAAAGGTCCTAAATGGGCTTCCGTATATTCCGGCTAGATTGTGGCTTTTTCTACATGTTTAACATTAACATTTGAAATGACATTATTATAGACATATGATAAAACATGTTGTTGCTAATAAAATTCAAGTTTTATTTCATGTCTAATTTGTATTATCATTTTTTTCTTCGTCTGCATTTGTATTTCGTAGTATGAAAGTTTTTTCTTCGTCTACATTTGTATTTTGTAGTATCAAAGTTTTTTCTTCGTCTATATTTGTATTTTGTAGTATCAAAGTTTATTCTTCGTCTACATTTGTATTTTGTAGTATCAAAGTTTTTTATAAAACCCACCAACTTATAAGTTTTTATCTCAATATAATTAGGAGGTTATAGAAACTTCAATGATAGTAATGTTGATATAAACCCAGGGCTGCATCGCTGGACAATTCAATATAACTTATTCTACATTTTGTTTATAGATATAAGAAGATGTGGTATGAGTGCCAATGAGACAACTCTCCATCCAAGTCAAAATTTATAAAAGTAAACCATTATAGGTCACAGTACGGTCTTCAACACGGAGCCTTGGCTCACACCGGACAGTAAGCTATAAAGGGCCCCAAAAATTACTAGTGTAAAACCATTCAAACGGGAAAACCAACGGTCTAATCTATATAAAAAACGAGAAACGAGAAACACTTATGAACCACATCAACAAACGACAACTACTGAACATCAGATTCCTGACTTAGGACAGGTGCAGACAAATGCAGCGGGTTTAAACGTTATCTATTACACTTTCACATGATCGTATGCTGTATAATGTATCATGTTTGTACTCATATTGTGTATGTATCTATTTCTATTTTATCATTGTTGCTTGTAAATGCCCAGTGCGGGACCTTGATTAGAAAACTTTAAATTTGAATTTGAATTTAAGGACACTATGTGGAAGCATCTATGCGCAAATTAAGGTACGTGCATCTGAAAACGGAAGATGTTTATTTCAGATGTTATTTACAAAACGACTTTCAGATAAATTCTTTGTTTGCTTATTGTTCATTGTTTCAATATTTGCAATTCAGAGTTTTCGAAAAGGTGAAAAAAAAGTCTTATTTCAACATAACAATTCACTAAGTGAAAATAATATATAATAATATGACAAGATTTAAATGTCACAGTTTGGCTTTAAATTGTAATTTTGATAGATTTTGAGTATTTATCAAACTCTTAAAAAATTTGATAAAATAAAGATATTAGGAACAAAATCTAAATTCCTTCGGAAGTTAAGCTAACTGTTGTATTTCAGCCATCTTAACAATATGTGTGCTTGGGCCTCAGTGGCCGAAATGACAAAGCAGTTAGCATACAGCTACCAATGACCTGTGAAATCTGAGGTATTGAGTTCGACGCCAATCCTAATTGACAAGAATTGCCAGTTTTCCAGCCGAAGGTCGATGGTTCTCTATTAATAATAATAATAATAATAATAATAATAATAATAATAATAATAATTTTAATATTGCAAATTTATAAAGCGTCCTATATAAATAAAAATTACTCTAAGGTGATGTATATGTAGCATGGTAATTTAAATCATATCAAAAA